TCCCCAGTTCTCATTTTGCAAAGGCATAGAGTATGAGAAGAAGAGACACTGATGTGTCAGTGTTAGTGTTACCTGGAAACTTTGTAAAGGATTTCAAGGTGGAATGAAAAATGGTTGTTGATCACAGAAAGTTAAAAATTTCACTAAAAAAAGGATAAGGTAAGTAGTAATCACTGGTGAGGGAAAGAAAGTAGTGAGTAGGAAGGATGTAATACAGGTAGGGAGTAGAGATTTGGAGGAAATACAATTATTTTAGTTTAGATGCATCTTGCTATCTTGTGGAAAGAAAAAAAAAACCCAGATCCACAGTTTGTTCAAAGCTTTTTTTTACTAGATGTCTTTTTGTCCTAGATGACTTTGTTCAAAATTTTCCTTTCACATTAAAGGCTAAATGCACACCAGTGCTTGAATAACAGATGTCAGTGGTTTTGTACAAACAGGTACCATGCTTTTATAAATAACATGTGCAGTTCAGTTCACTGGGAAGTCCATCTTGTAATTTTGTCCTCAGTAGTTTTAAACATATGAGTTGTTTTCCTTTTTCTTACAGAGATTCCCTCTTGGTCTAAGCTATGAGGTGAAAGGGAGGGTGATTCTTTAATCTTGGCCAATGAGGAAGGATTAATCCAATAATTGTGCTCATGGACATACAAATATCTCTTCCCTCTCTCTAGGGTGCAGATTATTTCTGCTAGGAGCCTGAATACTTTGCACAGTATGTGCTTGTGCATAATTTCCACTGTCTGATGCAGAAGGTGCATGTATAAAAACATCCCCTTGAACTTCAATCCTAGTCTGGAATGTTCCTCCATGACTTTTTGTGAGGCTGAGGCTTAGTAATACCTGCTCTGTGGACTAGGTATTGTTATTTCTCTCTTCTACCTCCTGTTTTTTTGCCTGGGGGAATATGCAAGTGGCAGCCTGAAAATGGGCTTCAGTTTTTACAGGACATGTTCCTCTTCATAAATTGAGCATGTGAAAGGAAGGTTTTTTTATTTCTAACCACCTTCCCGATCTGTGCAGCAATAAGACATGCAGAACAGGAGGATGAACAACAAAAGAGAGATGGAAATAAAAGCCAGAATTCAAAACAAAGCATGACATATTTTTAAAGCCTTTAGACTCATCTTTATAGCACTTTAAAATGTTGAAGGAAACGCACTATTGTTAAAACTTTTTGATGGTTTTATTTATAAGGTAGAAAAATATTTTCACCATAATTGGGTAACTCTTAATCGTAGCAATTGCATATTTATCAGTATGAGGGGCTGTTATTAATGTAGCTGTCATGCACAAACACATTTCTGCATTAAATCCATTTAGTATGTGCATTATTCGGTCTAGAATGTCACCAGGACATCAAAGCCCCCTTAGGCATAAGAGCACAGTGCCCTGCTGTGGCTGCAGAAAGGGCTTGATCAATAAATGTAACATGTTAATGCAGAGCAAATAGAATAAAAGATTTCTTTGACAAGACATGAAAAATCACCTTGTGGCAGCTGGCATGGTGATGCCATTTCAGCGGAGACACTAGCAAAGTTGATCTGACAAGTAAAGAGGAGAGATGATGGTTATAAGGTGCTTTTGTTTCAAACTTCTTTCTTGACCTGTCAGGTTTTGAAGGAGCCTGAATGGCCCTTTTTTGTCATGTGAAAATTGTAGTCTTAGGCAGTTATGAAGCAGTTATCTCTTCTCAAATTGTGAATGCTGCTGTTTAATTGATTCACTTAGCATTTGAAACTGTCACGCATTAATAATTGCTAAATCCTGTAGATACTGCTCCAGTGTGTCATGCTTAAATGTGTAGTTATCAGAAAATTAATATCCTTAATGAACTGATGCTTTCAAACTAGCATTGCATGAAATCTCTTTTGCCCTTTCATTTGCTGAAGGTATATCAGCCAGTTTTCAGAGAAACCCCTCCCGACAGTTGTGTGGTTTTATTTATTTATTTTTTTGATGCCCAACAAATGCCAGCTTTGCTTTGGGTACATAGTGTGCTCAATGACAATAAATATAGTAATTATGCTGGAGTTGGTAATTAACATAATTATAGTCAATTACGACAAATACAGTGCAGAGCTAAATGAATGAGGGTGAGAAATTAGCAAGCTAATTGATTTACCTTACGTGCTGCTTTTTCCTGCAACTACCAGTTGCAGATTTTCTGCAGGAAAGAGTGTTTACAAATAGCTGATTGTGTTTTGAAATGATTCTGTCTTGTGGCTCTCACTCCTGTTTCCCTTACACTGAGGTGAAGAGGATTGAAATGTGGGGTAGTGGTTACAAGAAGAAAGGAGCTGCCCTGTCCTCATTGAATGCTTTGAAGGAAGATGTATGTACTTACTTTAATTTTAGATTTTTCTTCCAGTATTGAAGGGGAAAAAACCTATGTGATCCTTTACGAAAGATACTGCTAGAAAAATTTTGGACATATATTTTAATCCTTTTAGATGTGGCATGAATTATATAAGAAACATTTATCTCTCTGTTTATTGACATCAGAGATCTGCAGAGCACTGGATAGCTGAAGGAAGAATTAGAATTGTTCAAGGAATCTAAGTGTGTTGAAACAATATGCCCTTGTTCAACCATCAGTTTCAATAATTTAAACCACTGGACCAGTAGGGATGCATAATATCATAACATTTGTGCACATTATAATTGCCTGTTTTGTTTCAAGATGATTTATAGTATCTTGTCTGAAATAAGTGAATTGGAGCTATGCAGTTAATCTGTTTCACTCTCCTTGTTTTTTATTTTCTTTCAAGCATGACGACAGTTTACTATGTGAAAGGAGAATGTATATGTTTAAGCATTTGAAGATTTTGTATTGTTCTTTTAAGGAAAATGTTCAGTAGTTGAGATTTCTTTCTTTAAGAAGGCAATAATTTGCAAAAGTTTGTAAATTTTATATTGGATATTGTTTACTGTTTGAAGGTAAATGGAATTTTATAGAGAGACTTCAGCAAAGAGATTATGTTTTTCACAGCAAAACAATCTGAAATTTATAAATTCTTGGTAATTTTTCTTCTACTATTGCAGTAAGTGTATCAAGTTCAAATGATAGGTGTTTAGTTTGAAGTGGGTACTCAACGTTTACCCTTAAAGGGATGTGCTACAATAAGCACAAGATGCTGTTTTTTAAATAATGTTGAAATGTTATGGATGTCTAAAAATACTTATACAGTAGCACTGCTAAGGGTGGTCAGTCTTTAGAAGCAATTCAGCTCCTAGAATAATTTTGCTGAATTAAATATTTATACATGAGGAATCATTGAAATGATTTACAGATGTAATAGTCTTTCTGTTGAAGTCTTACATGTTTATTAATCACTGTGGGCTACTGTATGTGTAATTATCTTTCTATTGAAAGAACTACTTGTTGTACTAGATAGACTGAAGACAAGTATGTTGATGGGTTCTTCCAACATGGGTAATACCTAGGGAGTTGTACAAGATAAAGTTTCATAGATGTGTAACTATTGGAAAACCAGAAGGGGAGTATTACCAGTAACAAAAACAATTACAAACTCCAGCTATTAACTCTACTTTTAGTAGTTGATAGACATCAAATCTAAATCTACTCCTTGCTCTCTTCTTCCCTTCCTTTTCCCTCTCACCATGCCACCCCCTTTTAGAAAGTGGCATTTCAACAGGAACCAGATGTGATCTGGCTAATGTATAAGGAAAGTATTTTTCCCCCACCTTAAAACTTTGGAAATACTAAAAATATTAAGGTACACCTTGTCTCTCATGCAATAGCCATGCCTGTGTTCTGTTGTTTTGTCAATTTTAAATGTGGTTATAGAATATTTGCCACTGCTGTGTGTGTTTTTGTGACTTGTATATTTTCCTGCTGTGCCTTAATTGTTGTCATTGGCTTATTGTTAATACAAAGGTAACCAGTCAATGACTATTGTTAAAAATATCAAATTAATGGGTTATGGTATTCGCTTAAATATCTCACTGCTTTCAGCATACTTTGCCATGGATGTAAGCTGTACTTTGTAATGGAAAAGTTATTTTTCCAAACTCAGTAATATGTAAGTAATAAGTATTATAAATTTGTTGTATTTCAGTATGGGTGGCTGTTATCTTCTTTAGTCCCAGCGGCCTCTCTTTTTGTCCATTGATCTTTGCTTGACTTTTTATGGCCACATAGGCTCTAACAGACAGTGAAAACACTGTAGTGTATATACACCTCTGACCCCCGTGCTGGCCATTATCCACTGATTTACAGTACCTGACAGATGGGAACACAGGATTGTTTTCTGCTCTGCTTTCCTCAGGAAGGCTTAACATCATGGAAGGAGTTGTCTTGAGGGTGTATCATGTAGATAGAATTGGGCAAAAACTTTTTACCCGAACCTTTGGCTTGGGGGACAGTGTAGGTTCACATTGTGTAATGGAGAATTCCTGTGAAGATTGCTGGAGCTTGAAATCTGGTAAAAGTATTAAACAAACAGCACAATTTGAAATTAAGCTAAAATAAGGTAGTGAGCTTTGATTGTTACATCCTTAATTATAGCTGGTGAATATTGCTGTGCTGGTTGATGAAAGCTGTTTTTTGGGGCCATCCATGTCTATAGATCTGTTGCAATTATGAGTAAAGATGAAATCTGTACTTCTGAACAAAGATGAGTGACAAACTGGGATTTGACTGGAGGTAGGATTTCATATTAAACATCCATTGACTCAAGGCTGTTGGTAAAATCTTTGGACTGAGGCAGAACATTTCCCAGTGAACTGTTGTTTGCATCACATAATTTTCTTCATATTCGAATGTGCGGGGAGTGAACTGTTTTTTCTTGATCTGATTTCTATAGGAGGTTGAAGTTGGGTTTTGAAGTGATGTTGGAGGCTAAATCTACATAATCTGCAGTTGTTCTTTGTGTATCCAGAGCACTTAATTCACTGGCACAATCCAACTCCTCTCGTGAAAACTGTAACCAGTCTTAAACTGAGTTTTTGTGTTGAATTCTCTTCTGAATTTTTTCTTTTGAATTTCTTTCTGAATAGAAATCTATGTTAGATTGAGAGAATATCAGTTAATAAATGGAAGGCTATCACAGTCTATGGAAAGTCTATGGCATTTGGAAGAGAAATAGTTTTATGTACTTGTTTTAGTTTTCAAAGTATGTCAGTAGATTGAAAATAGTATCTTGGTGACTGCTCCTGCATAGTCTGTGATTATCTGGATTTTAAGATCGAGAAGTACTTTTTTTCCAAGAGCATCAGGGGTTAAAGAAAAAGACATCATAAAGAGCATGTTTTAAGTACAAGAATCAGATGGATCATTATTACTTTCTGACTTCCTTAATTTCTCTCACTCTAAAACAGTATTTCCTCATCATTGCTGTTGTGAATCAAGAGCGAAGGACTGCAGAAATAACTGTTGTCTGAGGACAAGGAGCTTGGCTGAAGGGAAGAACCTGCACTAACCCTGGAATTATTGTCTCTGTCTTTTCCTCTCTGTTTTGTTGAAAGGTATCTTCGTCTCACCTTGATGCAATATAAAAGATTCTCAGCATATGGTTTCAGATGTAAACAACTTGACTAGTTTTGCTGATTCCAATTGCTAAGGAGGGCCTCAGTCCTCCAGTGTTCAACAAACCTGCTGGTGGTCATGGTGCAAAAAGTTACTTGGCGTTTGGCAGGAAAATCCTTGTGGAGGTTCTGTTTATTCATCACTTGCTTGTTTTGTGTGGTCTTGCATGGTTTGTGCCATTTTTGAGATCTTGCATTTACATAAATTATCCTGGAGATGATTTTTCAGGTTAAAAGGACCATCCCCAAGCCCTTAGCTCGTGCAAGCGTGAAGAGTGAGGAGCACAGAAGTGCAAAAGGGCCATGTATTTCTCTGGACTCAGCATGTCAAATCAGACATGCTATACAATAATTATACTGTCTGTAGGGTCATGGTTAATGCAGTGCTATAGCTCAGTTGTAGGCTTTACCCATGAACTGATGTTTGCAGTTTTGTGATATTTTATACTTTTTACTTATATTTTTGTTTTGTTTCTCCTGGTTTTTCCTTTTGATGATGCTTACCTGAGTGAGTTGCTCGCTTGTAGAACTGAAAGATTATTTCCTTACTTAATACTTTATTTTGCCTTTTTAATTTAATTTGCCTGCTGAGTCTTTAAATGGAAGCGGTGAATGTTTTTTGTATAATACAGCCATCCTCATTGCTCATGCTTGTAGGAAACTTTGTTATGGTGAGAGACTACAGTGATAGAAATAAATTTTAAAAGAACACAAGTAAGAGATGCAGAATATCTAATGTTAGGGGGTAGTTTAATTGGTTCAAAACTCAGGGGTCTTGCAGATTGGGCCAATACTTCTCTTCAGGTACTGAAGTCCCTGCTGTTTTTCCTGTGCAGTTAGTATATGAGCTGTATTGGCAGATACTAATACTTGGATGTATGCACAAGGCCAGCTCATTCTTTTCATAGAAAGTATAGTGTGTGTTGGCTGCTGCTGCCAGCTTGCTGGCATTTAATGCACACACAGAGACACACACACACACACAAAATAATGTCTTAAAAAGAAAGATCTTTAGGATGTATGCATATTTCCTTTATATATAAGTATGGTATATCAATTATATTTTTAATCTATATAAACTTGAGGGTGATGCTCAAGGATTGTTCTACTTTGATTTAGCACTTGTGGTAGGACTTTGTCAATGATAACCTTTGCACTTACAACTTTGAAGGAAGGAACATATTATTAGAGGTTGCTTGCAAAAAACATTTAGTCTCTTGAGCATAAAATCTCTTAAAGTGCAAGGAAATGCAGCAGAAGTGTCCTTGAACCATTTGAGAAGTGTAAGGTTGTAGATTTGCTGAAGTGACATGACTCTTCAAGGCCATGTGGCCACAAAAGCACTGGATGAGGATGTTGCATTTTAGATTCCCAGGACTTCCAAGACATTTTAGTTGAAGAGATAAGAAAAACTTATCATAGTTGACTTAGTTACTTAAGTGACAAAGTGTAGTGATTATTCTAAAGCACTTAAAGGCTAAAGGAAGAATGTTCTAGACAGAACAAGCGTTAAGAGTATATTGAATATTTGTAAAACTCTGCTTCCAACATAGTTATGTTAAGGTAATTTGACAGTCCAGTGTGTGAATGTTCAAATCACAGCTGCTCAAGGATCTGAACAATTTCTACCTATTATCTTGCATTTAATACACTTTTTATCTTGGATAGTGAAGTGCTCTGGAATAGCACAGAAACAGTCATATGGGAAGGTGACTCTACTGGAATTGCTGTGGAAAAAATTGTCAAGTACTATATTTTCTAGGAATGAAAATGAAACCAACTCAGCTTACAGAACTGAGAGGCTGTGTATCTGTCCAGTTTACTTTCTTCCCCCACTCTGTGCTGCCTTTTCTCCCCACTGCCTTCAGCTCCTTAAATCAGCAGAAGGCTGATGAAGGTGCTGCTGAGAGATTTGGGTGCAGGTGCAACACGAGGTTCCTGCTTGCTTGCCAGTGATCTCTCTTTTGTTCCCTGTGTTGCCTGTAATAGAAGCCAGCTGTTAGCTCTGTTCATGTGCAGTATTGGTTCTAGTTCTACCAGGTGCACAACTAGGAAATTGCCTGCCAGTCTAAGTGGGGAATGTCAGAGGGCAGTTCAGTTTCTTTCACTGTCAATTCTTTGGCTTCCTTTAAATAAGTCATATCGAATAGGCTCTTACTACCACTAATGAAAGGGCTTTTGAAATTTGGATGTACCTCTAATGAGAATCTATCTCAACCCGTTTAATGTGGGCCTTTACTTTGTGACTGAATTATAGACTCTGCAACCAGAGGTGATTTGAAACAAGAGGTTCACCTGTGTTTAAATGATTGAGCAGAAGAAAAGAAGTTTCTAAAATCAAAGAGACAAATGCCTTACTGTAGATTTTGTCTCACTTTCTAGTAATTGGTCAATGGAGGAAGAGAGAACAAATGTCTATATTGAGCTAAAAGTGAATGGGCAAGTGTTTCTTTGTGTGTTTTAGTATAGCATATGAAAGTCCTGGTTGCTGTAGTCCTAGTATTTTAAAACCTAGTGAAATGGTGAAGTCAACTTTAAGGTAATCTAGCACCTTTTTTTTCCTATTTTCTTTCTATGTGGGGACATAAGTGCACTGGAAGTATTTAAGACTAGTGTGGGTAGAAAAAGTAGCACTAGAAACCCATCAAAACAGGTATTATTGTAAAGTTGATATTTGTATTTGCAGCAAAGCCTATTACTATCCTAAAACATGGAATGAATAAATACTTCCTATGTCGGAACAGAGGCACCTTAGTAGGCAGAATAACATCAGAAATGGTCAGTAAGCTTAATTCTATACACAGAAACATCAAATGTTTCAGGTTCTCTACCTTATATTCAATGTGCATAATCTAAATCAGATTTTCTGAATGAGTCCCTGACTGCGTATCTCCATACAATACTCATTCTTAGGGGAAAAACAAAACTAGGGAAAAAGACTTCTGCACCCAAGTGAGTGGAGTGAAACCTCATTCACACCTCTCTTTTCCCTAGTAAAAAACCACAAGAAAGTCTGCAAAAAAGATACGTAGTTACAAACTTAGGATAAAGGTTTCTCTGCAAGTTCCTAAAATCAAATATCTGAACTTAACCTCTGTGTCAAGAAATTTGCTCAATTAAATGGTATACTTCTGCTTTTCAAATCACTTGCAGAAAATAATGCATATTTCTTTTTGCTAGGCTTTGTATGCTGAACACAAATGAGATTTTTGATATTCAAATCGATCTCATTGACTAGAAATAACCTTATTCATATTATAGAGTGCATTCACATCTATGGATGTTATGTAGAAAGCTAAGTGTTGCTTAAGCCCATCCTGTTCAGGTCTCTTTCTCTGCAAAATTTAAAATCTGTCCTCGTCTTTTGCTACAGAGCTCTGTATGTGTGTATGTATTTATTTAATAAATTATTTATGTCAAGGCCCTCATCTCTCTTAGTGAGCATTGGAATGGAAAGCAAATTGCTGTTGAAATTCCCTCTCTGGCGATTTCAGCTAATTGTACCACAATTAATATATTTAAAAGAGTAAACAAATCTCCTCCTCTTTTCCTCCTTGGTGTCTATGTAGTAGAGAGCTTTGACCCCATGTAAAGCTTTATCATGTAAGGCTCTTTTCAGATTCTTGGGCGAGTCACGCTAAGGCTTCATGTGCAAATGTGACAGTGCCTCTCTGTGCTTGACATTGTAACTTTAATATTTTGTTACTTAAATATACTAAAATGTACCCTGTATCAAACTGCAGGTGCTGCTACACTTCTATTACAGCACGGTAACACTTGCCTCGTAAAAACTCTGAGGCTTGTGAAAGAGTTAAGCAAAGCAGCCAGAAATGGTTTTCAGCTTTTACTTTCCAGATACAACCTTTTAAGCATACCTACATTTACCTGCAATGGCAATCGTTTTGCATTTTAATGACAAATCAAGTATGCTAACTTGCATTTGAAACGAAAGTGCCTTAAATGTCTCTGGCTGTCAGAATGAGATGTTAGGAGCTTGATGAAAAGAGAACAAAGAAGACAAAGTATGAAGCCTAGATACAGAGCAAAATGAAATAAAACCTTGTATGGCCTGTCAGGGGTGTCAGTTGATATTCCTATCTAAAGCACATTATAGTATTACTTTGCAGCTCATAGCTTACTCATCTGTCTTTTTTAATTCATCACATTCTAGCCCACATCTTTTAAGTCCCATGTGTCAACAATGGAAGAAATCTGTTAATTGACAAATGAGTGTCACAAATGTGAATTGGTGCCTTTACATCAGAGGCAGGTAGTCTCTGTTGTTTTTTGTCGGCTCTATTATTGGCATAAGCCAGTGTAAGACATCTGTCTTTGCCAGAATGAGAGATGACAGCCAGAGAAGGGCTGTCATTGTTTTAGTGCATGTTCATTCTGCTGAGATACTGTATAAAGATAAAATGTCAGTTAAAAGAATATGAAAAACTATCGGGAGGAAGTCCTTAAATTACTTGGGAAGGGGATCTGGGAATTGGTGCCAGAATTGAAATCCGAACGTTCCAGTTTGCATCTATCACATCAATTTAAAAATAATACTTTCTGAGTAACTGGGTCAGTTTATAAGGCATTTAGGAAAATGTTATGTTGTGTTGGCATAATTAGCTCATAAGATGGAAAGAAAAACATATTTTCACAGGATATGAGTTTATTACAAGTTCATTTTTCAAACATGTATAGAATTGTCTCAATAAAAGTATGCTGTGTAGCATCTCTAGTGTTGATTTGCATCTGTTTTGAAATATTGAAATTGCTTCTTTCCAATTTCTTTTTCTGTTATAGTTCTATTTTAGATTGATGAATAACATAATGAAATAAAAAGCATAGCCAGCTGTGAGCTGATGAGACAATTAATAGGAAGAAAATTATTAACATAGTTTCAGGGTGTCTAGAGGGTGTACAGTATATAAAAGTTACTCCCAAAT